TCTAATAAATTTGTTAGTCTCTAAGGTGCCACAAGTTCTCCTGTTCTTTTTGCGGATACAGACTAACACGGCTGCTACTCTGAAACCTGAGATGAAGCAACACTTCTCAAAGTCATGCAGTGAAAGAGTGCTTGATAATGGTAAGAAATTGAATTGGCTAGTTTATTCAGAATTAACTGACAAGGTCTTCTGTTTTTGTTGCAAAATATTTGACAAGAATGCCAAATCATTGCTTGCGCTTTTCGGGTACAATTATTGGCATAATTTAGCTGATGCTCTGAAGTAACATGAAAAGTCACCAGGCTATAAAATGGCCTGAGGTCAAGTCCAGGCTCAAGCTGAATAAATACATAGATGCAGAAACCCAGCATTGGAGGAACGTGCTCGAGCATCTGATCTCAATCACCCTCCTCCTTGCAAAGAGCAATATGGCTTTCTGAGGCTCATCGGATAAGTTGTTCACTGAACATAATAATGGTAATTTCCTCAGTTTGGTAGAGCTCCTTGGGAAATATGATGATGTCATATTGCACGAGCACCTACGCTGAGTAGTTTGTAAAGAAGCTATGGACCATTAATGCAGCAAAACAATTCAAAATGAATTGATTGACCTTATGGCAAGGAAGTTGCTTGATGACATATTGATGTAGCTCAGAAAAGCAAAGTACTACACCATAATAATGGACTGCACTCCCAACATTAGTCACAGCGAAAAGTTATCATTTACAGTAAGATTTGTTGATGATGAGGATGGCTGTATCCAAGTAAAGGAACATTTTATCTGTTTCCGGTCTGTGACTGACTCTACTGGAAAAGGCCTAACAGAACTGTTTATGAATGTTTTGAATGAGAATAAAATAAAGCTTCAGGGCTGTCGTGGCCAAGGCTACGACAATGGTGCGAACATGAAGGGAAGAAACAGTAGCGTCCAGGCAAGTATCCTTGCACTGAATCCAAGAGCTTTCTTTGTGCCTTGTGGCTGCCATTCCCTCAACCTGGTTGTGTCAGATGCAGCATCATCTTTAGATTCAGTATCTCTCTTTGGACTACTGCAAAGGATATACGTTTTGTTTTCAGCATCAGCCATCTGGTGGAAGATCCTCATGGACAATGTTACAAATCCTACCGTGACACCACTAAGAGACACTTCCTGGGAGAGCCACATTGACAACGTAAGGCCAGTGAGGTAACAAGTGACTGAGGTTTATGATGACCTGGTGGAACTGGCTCAGTCGAGTAAAGCCTAGGCTGGAATCCAACACAAGGCTCAAAACCTGGCAAACTAGATTACTGACTTGAAATTTCTGGTCTCAATTGTGGTTTGGCACAATATCCTGTTACAAGTAAACATTGTAAGCAAGGCATTACAAACTCAGTCAATGGACATCACGGCCACTACTACTTTGAGAAGTTGCCTTGATTTCGTTGTGGCCTACAGAGACAATGGAGTTGAAGATGCCATCACTGCTGCCAAAGAAATGGCAGAAAACTTAGGAGTTGAGCCTGTGTTCAAGGAAACTCGTATTCATCAGACGAAGAGAGAGTTTGGTTATGAGGGCAGAGATGAGGTGATGGGAAGCTGAGAAATAAAATTCAGGAGGGAGGGTTTTTTGCTTGCTCATTGACACTGCTCCAGTCCATCAAAGAACAATTTGGACAAATGAAGCACCAGGAAAAGACCTGGGTTTTTTTTGTATGACCTTAGTAAGCTGCCAGTGGACAGAAAAATACTCTTGAACAATTGTATAGACCTCCACCGGATGCTGACACATGGGGAATGTTCAGATGTCAATGATAAAGACCTCTCTTGTTGAACTGGACAAAATCCATCACATTTTGTCACATGGGAAGCACTCTTCACTCCAAGTTCTCCAATTCATTCCTGATGCAGAGATGAAGGACACATTTCCTAATGTGTGGATAGCTTTGAGGATTCTGTTCATACTGCTGATCACAGTCGTGAATGGTGAGCGCAGATTTTTGAAGCTCAGGCTCATTAAAACATATCTTTGATTGACAATGGCTGATCAGAGACTGATGTCACTTGCTATTTTATCGCTTGAAAATGCCATTGGCCAGTCTTTGGATCTCTCTGATGCTGTGCTTTAGTTCACAAGGACAAAGGTGAGAAAAGTGACCTTTTGAACTAAAGGACAAGGATTAACATTCTGAGACTGTCACCTACTGTAACACTATTTAATACTGGTCCACCCAATGGTGGTGCACAGTTCAATTTCTTGATGTTAGTACATTTCAATTATTCTTAAAATTAAAAGGTTTCTATAGCCTTAGCAGAAATAACTTTTTTTCTTTGCTTATGTAAGCAACGCAGTGTCTACACTGACACTGTGTCGACCTAACTACATTGACTTAAATGCTACTGTGTCATGGGCAGGTTATATCAGTGGAAGCTACATTACAGAATTAGGCTGATGTAAGCTGCCTTACGTCGACCTAGCTCTGTAGTGTAGACTAGGCCTCAGTTGTCCACTTGTGAGAAGGGGATAATCCTTCCAGGCCTTTTGTCTGTCTTGTCTATTTAGACTGTTAGCTGCTCTGGGAAGGGACTGTCTCTAATGATGTGTGTGTAGAGTGACTAGCACAGTGGGACCCTGCTCTTGGTTGGGAGCTACTATAATAAATAAAATCCTGCAAACTTTTTAACACAAGAATAATTGTACTGACTCCAGTCATCTCATTGACTTCTACAGAACTATTGATTACAGGAAGCATTTGTAAGATCATGGCAATGTTTATAGCTTAGCAGAGTCCATTCTTCTGAATGCTGACGTTCTGGGCCTCTCTACTTTTCCTCTTCACAATGACATGGAAATGGGTGGATACCTGACTGAAAATATGAGGGTGATTGTGAACTACTTATCCTAAGTAATTTTTCATTGGTAGGCCCTTTCGTACCAACAGAAAATGTATACCTCCATCTCCTGGAAGAACTCAGCCTCCCTTACATCTTAAGTACTTGGAAGCCCCACCACTCCCTGAAACCTCTAAATATTCTGGTAGTACCTTCCTTAGAAACCAATGGCCCCCTTCAAGTTCTTACCCTGAGTTTAGTTCCAGTTCATAGTATCTTTTCTGTCCAGTGCTCTCCAGAGAGGAATTTATTGCAACTCTCATATCTGCGCTAGTGGGACATCATAACTCAGTAATTAACACAAAATATTCCAAATGTGCTCTCATGGATTCTAAATGTGGACTTCATGGGTGACTTATTTCCCTGTTGGAAGAGAAAAGAGTTGAAACAGACACACAATGTGTATCCTGGTCTAATTTTTGTCCAAGACTATACACTCTTGAATAAGGATATTAGACAGCAAAAGCAAAGTGTGTCTTAGAATTCACAGGTCTCCGGATAACATCTCAGCTCCAGGCTGCTATACTGTGAGCTAGTCTACACTTAAAAATTAGATTGACCTAGCTACATTCCTCAGAGCTGTGAACAATTTCACAGCCTGAATGCTGGAGGTAGATTAACCTAACCCCACAGTGCAGATGTGGCTAAATCGATGGAGCAATCCTTCTATCGACCTACGTATCACCTCTTGGAGATGGATTAACTACATGGATGGAAAACCTCTTCTGTCAATGTAGGAAGTGTCTACATTATGGTGCTACAGGTGCATCGCTACAGCACTGTAGCTGTGTTGTTGTGGCAGCTATAGTGTAGACATGTCCTGGGTCTATGTGCTTCTCTCAAACACTGTTTCAGTTATTCTCTAGGTGTGAAAGCTCCCCGTCCTGAAGCCACTGTTCTCCATCGCCATGCCATGGCTTTCCAGAAACATAAAAGGAGGCCTATTTCAGTAACCAACTCTCTGAAACTCAAAGACTCAAGTGTCCTGTATCAAAGCTCCATTAAGTTCAAAGGCACCTGTTGTCCTCACCAATGCAATGAATGATGAACTGAGTCTTTCTGCAGTGGCTATTAACTCTTTCCACAGATTCAAATCCCAGTTATTGATTTCCATACAGTTATCAGTTTCATCACTCTTGACATTCCCATGAGGCCAAGCGGAATGGCGGACATGAAACAGCCCCAACAAGCAACCATGTCAAATGATGGAGCCATGATAATGTGTCTGAATTTGTCCCCCACGGGGTGAGGAATATGGAGATCACCTATAATTATGTGTTGAAATATGGTGTGAGCAGATAGTGAAGGAAAGTTCTGCTGTAAAATGATCTCCTTCCTGCTGAACAGAAGTCAAGCTGTGCACTGCGGTAGCCTCTGGTCTTGAGGATTGCTAGCATTTACACACTCCCGTTAAGGTCTAGTTGACTTTAAATAGTGGATCAACTGGATCAATTGCTGTTGTGGGTAAGAGAAATGGAATAAATCAAACAGGTTTTACTTAGGATAGCAACATCGTAGCAACAGTGCTATGAAAGTCCAAAGGGAAAATGTCACTTTAAAAGAGAAACACATTAATCACACTGACAGACAGCTGGGCTACATCTGTATTTTCACAGGCATCAAAGGTACTGACTAGTGCTCAGATTCTGCAAGTGAAGGGTCAGAGGGCCTGGATTTTCTTATGTGTTATTAATGTGCCCAAGATTTTCCAAATGTCTAGCGATTTGGGGTGCCCAATGTAGGGTGCCTTAAAGGGGCCTGATCTTCAAAAAGCAGCCTCCCTCTGAAAATCAGGCCCCTGTAAGGTGTCTCAGGCTGGGCATCCAAAAATGTAAACAACATAACTTTTTAAAATCTTGGCCACTGAGTGATCATTGTGACAGCTGGGAGAAAGATGGTGCATTCTATAATGATGAATCCATCGGACTGGCGAGGTGAGTCACTTTATTGAACACTGAACCGTCTGTTTACAAGTGGTGATGCGCCCTGATCTGGAAAGCGTTATGTTTTTTCCTATCGTGATTTTTTAATCACTTCACCACCAAGCACTGTATTTGCACTGACTAGTTAGGCCTCTGTTGTCACTACGTAATGAATCTCAGATTCACTGGAGAAAAAATTCTGCTGCCAGATTATGGCCTCAGTAAAGGGGATGGAATGGTGAGGTCAGGAATGCACCTGCAAATTTACTATGGCCGTATGTTTCTGCACTGTTCAGCCTGTGGGATATTCTTGGCTTTCCAGAACCAGATAGTGGACTAGCAAAGAATGCGTCCACAGCTGCCTGGAGACTAACTATGGCTGAGGTCCGCAAAGGGATGGAGTGAAATTTCCAACTCTAGTTTCAACTGCTGAGCACTGTTTTCCTTTGCTAGCAATTTCTTTAATATGTATTACTATTTTTTCCACTGGATGGCAGCATAGTGAATGCATTTACAGCACCTCTTATTATGTCTTACTTAGAGGGACAATTTTAGTAAAGCTTCATGGCTGAGATAAAATTGGTTTTGGAGTATGGTGTTTGCCAACAACATGAGGGCTTAGCAAATTAGTCATAGAATCTTTAACTGTTAAATTATACAGTGAGCTCTCTTATGATGTTTAAATTTAGTAAAGGGCAGGTACAACAAAGTAACAGAAATGTTTAAACGTTCCCTGTGGCTATGGATGCCTTTAAGCAAAACTAGGACACTAACCTACAGGTACCAAAGCACAGGAATGGCTAGCACTCCACCTTCAGCTCACCTTGTTGGGGATGACATGAGGTTATTATATTTCATGCACCCAAAAATATATAAGGCCTGATTCTCCCCTGACCTAGCCAAAGCTCCTCTCAGAACCTTCTCATTATTGCTCTAACTCCCTCTGGCACTGCTGAGAACTGTCTATCTGACCAGGATGCAGGGCCAGAGCTGATTCCCTCCAGAGCTTGTTGATGTTGTTCTTGAAGTGGCCATGAGAGGTCATTCTTCAGAGTAATTCTGAAGTGGGCTTTAGCCTTTGCTGGGAGTAAGGCTATGAGCCACCACTTTTGAACATTTCTTTCTCTATATAGGATGGAGCATACTTGTTTTCTGCAAATACAGTAAAGAATACATCTCTTGTGTAAGCCCCTACTTTAGCTGTCATGCACTGTGCCTCTATGGGGTTGTAGAACATTTTTTGTTTGGGATTCAGTGGTAATTAGGAGAGTTTGTTATTTTTGTGGACTTCCGTCTGAACTGTTGCTGTAATTCAACAATACTTCTACATGAGACTAACGCAAAGGATGGGCACATCTTGTGATTAAAACAAACAAATGCCTTTAGGAGCTATGTTGTCAGTGCAGCAGCTGCACATATGCACTGAACCTGCATGCTAAAAATGTTTGTGAAATATACGGAAGAGGGGAAAAACAAGTATGAACAGCAGCTGCTTTGCCAAAATATTTATATTTCTTCAGTACTAAAAATAATGAAAAGGTGACCAGTCCACATTCTGGCCTTCATATTGTACTCATTTCAGCCAGTTAATTAAATGCCTAATGTAAGGATTATACATCAAGGGGTGACCAGAAGCCCTAAGTAAGGAGTAGCATATAGTTGCATTGCCTCAATCAGGACCAGGCCAAAATGTGTGACACTACAATTAGTCCATGGTTCCCTTTTGCTCTATGGCAGTGGTTCTTAACCTTTACTGCAGCCTGCACCCCTTTGGTTCTTAAAATATGTTCTCGTAACCCTTATCAAAAATCAAAATATGTTCTCTCACTCCTTATAAAAAAATCATTGAAATAGGTCAGTTCTTTAAACCTAGATATATTTTTTGTTTGCATATTACAGTAATCATTAAAAAATGTATAATGTTAATAAATACGTAGATCTGATGAAACAAAGTAGTTGTACTTACGTGTTGTACTGTGCTTAATTTGTTTTTTCGATGATTTACCTTCTAAAACAATCTGCCATGTTTCGCACCCCCAGAAAGGGCATCTCACACCACCAGGGAGTGCGCACCCCAGGTTAAGAACCACTGCTCTATGGGGAAGTAAACCCTGCACCAGACCTTTCCGTGTATGGAGGAGGAGCTCAAAAATGGGAAGAGAGTAGCTCAGTGGGAGGCAGACAGTGGAGGTGAGCTGATCTGCACTCTGAACTCCTGAGAAGGAGCACCACAGGAGTCTGCTGCCTGAGGCCTGGCCATGGTGAGTTGACTGAGCCTACAGAGAAGGGACCTGTGAGACTCTGAAGGTCAGAGACTTTATCTTTGTGTTTAGTACTTTTCTTTACCCTGTGGAAAGAGGTGACTGGTAGGAAGTGATCCGAGGAGGCAACTGCATAGCATGCAGGGTGCAGGACATAGCTGCCTATCACTGGCCCCTGGATTGGAGCCTGTGGAGAGGGTGGGCCTGAGTTTCCCTACTGACCAACGGCAGAGGGCGATCCCTGAATGGGGAACCTAACTGGGGGGAGAAGACCCTGGAGATAAAAGGGTCTGGGCAGTGAGAACTTCACCCCAGGGGGAACCCTGAGGCCCCTGTTTAATCCTGAAGGTTCCCCCATTGATGGACTCTTTATATGTACCCTGAAAGGGACAGACTTGAATATGTGACCTGGCCAGAGGACATAGCTACTGGAAGGACAGACAACCCCAGGCCAGAGAGGCAATAAGAAATGGGGATGGCCAGGAACCCTGCCACCCCGCCTCCACCTGACCACCAGGTGCTGCTGGGATGAGCATCCTCCTTCACATTGGCCTGTCAATGATTAGTGAGTATTTTAACCAATCACTCTGCAAACTTTTAAGTGCTACAACTCTGTGGCGTATGCATTTGGTGCTGATTCGTTTTGTTACTTATTTTCATTGCAGTAGCACCCAAAGACCCCAATCAGGATTACAGCCCTCTGTGCTGGCAAACAGGAAGACACCATCCTTGCCTCAAAGAATTTACAGTTTCATTTAAGACAAAATGCAACAATTGAGTGTGATAAATGGTAAGAGGAAAGGGGGAGGCAGGTTGACGGTATCTATATTATGTTTATGTGGTTACTTGTGGGCTAGCTATTTGTATTGTCTGATGGTTTTGGATCATTTAAAATATTGATTTCCTATTTTCCTCTGATGGGACCACTGATAATTTGCTGATTTCTTGTAGGCATCACAGTAGAAGTGGGTCTTGAGATATGATGTGAAGCAGAAGAGGAGAGCTGGTTAAAACATTCCCAATTTTGAGATTTCAATTATATTTTTCATGAAAATTTGATTTTTGAGGCAGAGGGAAAACTCAGAAAATTTTCAAATAACAAAAAAAATTTCAACAAAATAATTGAGGTTTTTCAACCAGTTCAGAGAGTGGTCCAAATTTTTTAAATCATCAACAAAGAATGAAATTTCATTTTTTTTTTCAAAAAATACCATTTGTATTGTATTTTGACTAGCTCTAGAAGAAAAACTGGCCTGTGAATTTGTTTTGGGAGGAAAGTCCTGGGTAAGGAGTGCCAATGACAGAAAGCATCATGGGTAGAAACTGTGAGGATGGTTGTCGGATAGGTGAACAAACAGATACTCTGGGCTGGCATCGTTCACAGACCAGAGAGTAGGCGATGAGATAGAAGACAAGAGTGGATATATAGGGAGGAACAGAGGCCCTAATGGTAAAAAAAGAAGCTTGAACTTGATGAAGTGGAAAACAGGGTGCCACATGAGGAATAATAGGGGTGATCCAGTCAGAGCAATAGGCAAAGAAGAACTGGAGCTTTTGGGGAATTTTCCATTGGAATGATTTTCCAACTGAACATTCAGTTTCTGCAAAATTGAACTTTTCTGTGGAAAACTTTTAATTTTGCTGAAAATTTTCAATTTTCCTTTGGAAAAATTGAACCTAAATATTTTATTTTGGACTTGTTAAACCTAAATCAGAATATTTCATTTTATTAAAAAGCCCTTGAACTGCATTTCTCTAGGTTCATTGTTTTATGGGAGTTGTAGTGGGGTCCCCCATTGTCTCCTATGGGCTGGGCTCTCTTGATGACTAAATCTCCTATTGTGTAATCCAGATCCAGCTGACTGAGCTTTGTGGGGCACTGAGGAGTCACATGGCCCTGGGTGCATCATGGGAGATGTAGTCCTGCCAGAATGACTGCTCTAATGCAGCATGCAGTTTGAGCAGCGGGGTCTGCATTGCACTATGGAAGAGATTGAACTACAAGTGCCATAAGGCAAGAGAAATGTAATTTAGTGTTGACCTGACTCAAAATGAAGCATTCAGATCAATTCAACAAACTGAAACAAAACCATTTGATTTCAGGAATGTCAAAATGTTTCATTTTGATTGAAAATGTTGAAACTTTCCATTCTGACATTTCCAAATCTATTTTTTTCTGAATTTTGGTTCCATGAAAATTTTTGAAATTTCAACTTCTCATGCTGTTTTGAGACAAAACCAAATGCTGAAATGTCAGAATTTCCCATGAGAAATTGCAACTTTTGCTCACCTTTAAGCTGCTCTAGAGGGGGCCAGTTTGGGTGTCTGGGAGGTTACAATAATCCAATTGTATGAGAGTTTTGTTGCTGAGCGTTTTAGTGGACAGAAATGAAAGGCTCACGTTTAGAAATGTTATAGAAGAAAAGCATCAAATTTTAGACACAACCGGAATATTCCAAACAAAGAAAAGGGAGCAGTCAAAGATGGTCACCAGGTTGTGGGTCTGTTTAACAAAGAAGATGGTGGTGTCAAGAGTGATAGAGAATGAGGTAGTGGAGAAGGCGTGTGAAGAAAGATAGGTAGTTCATGGACTAACTTTCCTACAGATCAGATGGAACTTCTGTCTGGGATCTTCAATGAAGTCTAAAGGAGTCAGGTGCCCAAATCCCATTGAATTTCAGTGTGAGTTGGGTGTCTAACTCCCTTAGTCTCCCTTAAAAATCTCAGTTGCAGTTTTAAGGTTTTGTCTGTAAACAAGCAATAACATGGTGAAGTATATGGAATTCAATGTATCTATTTTTTAGATGAAGGGCTGAGATAACCCTGCCTATCTATATTTGAATATGTGACTCTAGGAGGATCATAGCCCTGATTCTCCCTTACTGTGGGTGTAAACAGCTGTCCTTCTGATCTGACTCCAGACCTCAATCTTTCCCCTTCTTTCTCAGCGTATATTCCCTGAGAATCTTCTATCACTCTCTGGATTCTGTGGAAGGCAGCAGTTCTAAGATTCAGGGCGGGATGTTTGTTCTCCCCAGTGCACTGTTGCCCTCTGCTTCTTCAAACTGCAGGGAGCATGTTATAATAATACTCATGTACTGCTATATATTTTTCTAGCACTGTACAAATATTAACTAATTAATACCCAGGACTCCTGTCTCCCATTCCACTAGACTCCAGTGGCCCCCAGGCAAGTCATTTAACCGACCTCGTCTTAGTGTCGCCATCTGTTATACATTGTTTTTAATTGTTCTCTGAAAATTCAAGCAAATGGAACTAGAGCTAAGACATGCAAAAATAGTTTGCACAAGATGATGTGGAATGATTCTGGTAAGCTCTTTGTGAATCCCTTGTCAAGCAATGTTACCTTTTAACCATCCATTCATGAGACTCAGCACTGTTAAACTGTGCGCAAGGAAGACAGTGTTCATTTTTGCACGCTGAGTGAGTTTCCGTGACCTGAAGAAGAGCTCCGTGTTGCTTGAAAGCTTGTCTCTCTCACCAACAGAAGTTGGTCCCATAAAGGATATTATCTCACCCTCCTTATCTCTCTAATATCTTGGGACTGACACATCTACAACAACACTGCATATGGTTTGAACGGGATCAGTCTTCATTCTTTGAAATGGGGATAAAAGAAAAGAGGTTTCAAATTGTACTAGGTGGCAACATAAAGGCATAAGCAGCAGGAAAAGTGTCACTAAAGCAAGCAGATACAACTCTGAGCAGCCTACAAGAGGCTAAGACCTCAAAATCTTGCCATATAAAGGTATCATCTGTAGAAGGACCAACAACCCCATATCTCCATTTGCCCACTGCTAGGTCTCCTCTTTCATTCTGGGAGTCCTAGAGAGTCTCCCTGTTCACTTGCAATCAGTTCATAAACCCCAATCAGAGAAAGCAAAAAACAACATTCAACCGGCTTCCAGGCATTCACTAACTTCAGGGGAACCTGACCCAATCTTCCCACATACCCAGTGGATGAACTGTCTGCTTCCCATCTCCTCAGTTGCCCCTTCTCTTTCTCCCAGGCAGGCTGTAGGTCTGAAGCCAATTCCTTCCAGGTTTACTAGAGGCAGATCCTCCCTCTCCGAGGTTAGGCAGATCTCTGAAGTCAGCTTCCTCCCTATTCCCTCTTGATCATTCTTTTCATCTGGAAGGCCCTCCTTCCAGCCTTGACATTCCTGGCTTGTGTTGTGGGGGGCAGATCCATCTGGAGGCCAGACCAGTCAACGCTTCTTTCCATAAACCAGAATGGGGTTTATACATCAGAGCCAGAATGAACCCAGCTTGCCTTTAAGATCTCATGGGTTGACAGAAAAAAAAATCTTTTTATTATACATTTTGTGAAAAATTGTCTTGGAAATCATGGAGATGCAATAGGGCCTCTATCTTGCAAAGATGTGTACATGTTTGATCTGATGCAGTTCCAGGGATGTCTCACACAGGTAAAGTTGTGCATGCGCATATGACTTTGCAGGATTGGGGCCTGAGGCACTAAGCAGAAGTGCTTATAGGATCTGTAGACAGTCATTTGAAAATGTACTTCATAACCTCTACCTCTACCAGAAATCAAAAAGAATCAAACAAAACAAAACAAAAAAAATAGGAATGCATAAAATAAGATTACTTTACTGCATAGGATGTGTTTTTCTGGAGTCTTTGGAGGTACTTCATCCAACTCTTTTGTGTTATTTCAACACTACTCCACAGCTTCATCCTCCTGCCAAACTATTACATTCAAACAAAGGCTCTTAAATGGCGTGAGATCAAAACTGGGTCATGCGAGTAGGAGAAATTATTTCTAAAAGATCCCCACCATCTTCCTGTTTTTCCCATCTCATTTATGGGTTGTTTTGATTTGTTGTTTTGTTTTGCTGTTTTGTAAGATTTTTTCTTACAATGCTTGCATAGAATCTTTGGAGAAATTAGATATTCTGGAAGCCTAAAGTCTTGTTCACTATCTAAATACAACTTGAACTATTTCAAGCAAATCCCTCTTGTCCTAGTAGAGCTGCCATGGTTGAATGTTTTGCCCCCCATTTCATTTTAAATTATGCAAACTATTAGACATTATGAAAGCTGCACACATCAAGCAAACTAGGTTTTGATTACTTATGCACATTTATAACCCATACTTCCCTAGCTAGCCTTCTGCCGTCCATACTTAGTACACTCATTGAGCTGAGATATCTTTCCAGTTTGACTCCTGATCACAGTACCTAACTACTTAATTGCAGCCATCTAAGTCAGAGGTTTGTTAATAGTAATAACCATAATAAAATTTGCCATACCTAGTTAAATATTAGGTATATGCTAGAGGATGATAGAGTTAAGAAAACCTAATGCAATATACATCTTCAGAGATCTATAACTGAATCCATACTTGTATTTGAATACCAAATTATCTGCTGATTATTATGCATAGTTTAGCAATGTAACAAAAACATGATGTCGCAGTCATGCTGTGCACGCTGTAGCTAGATATCCTTGTTTACAGTAACAGCTGTAAACACAGTCTAACTCAGGCTTGATTTGAAAGCAGATTTCCCATTGTTTCATGCATTTACCATGTTGTGAAAGCTAGAATTTCAGAATTTTTCTCACATGCTTATTGATTATGCCCCAGAACAGCCTGCATTGCTACGAACACTTTTATAATGCCAGTTTCCAGGCCATAGTTAACAAAGGATCAATTTTCCATTCCCTTTACAAATACAGACAATTTTGCAAACATTTGCTGTATAACCCACCATTTAAGGCCTTGAATTCAATGGGATAACTTATGTGCATAAAATTAAACACATGCGTAAGTGCTTTACTGGATCAGGGTTTTAATTTGCATCTACCCATTTGACTGTACAGGTTGTCAGACCAATTTCTTCCATCAAAATGGACTGGCCAAAAAAAGACTTTTTAGTGCAATCTCTTTTTTACCCTTTTTAAAAACATTTTCACTGAAAAAGTAACTTTGGTTGTTATTTTTAATTAATAGTGGGCCTGCATAAATTACTTTTGCTTTTTTCCTGCTATTGAAAAAATATAAAAAGCCTTGTTATTTTAACATGAAAGGTAGGGAAAGGGCATACACCCTGGATATTTTTCATAAGGTTTCTGCCATGAAAAACACAACAATATATTCTGCTAAAATGGTAATGGGCAGGGCCAGCTCCAGGCACCAGCTGAGCAAGCAGGTGCTTGGGGCGGCCAAGGGCAAGGGGCGGCACGTCGGGCTCTTCGGCTGCAATTCGGCGGAGGGTCCCTGTCCCCCTCGGAGGGAAGGACCTGCCTCCAAATTGGCGCCGAAGAAGGTGGTGGAGCTGCCGCCGATCGCGATCGCGGCTTTTTTTTTTCTTTTTTCCGCCACTTGGGGCAGCAAAAACCATGGAGCTGGCCCTGGTAATGGGTCTATTGATTTGGGCAAGATCCTCAGGTCCATTAACTCTGCTCTGTGCCACACCATCTATGCAAAGCAGTCCTAATGCTAGTTTAGCCAGGCACTTGAGGATTCCCCAGTAAAGGAAAATTTCTGAGTAGCATAGAACCGCCATAATGGCTGCTTATTTCAAACCCTCCCAGCCACTGGCACAGGCATGGTCAGAAAAAAGAGGGTGTAGCTAGGACATATTTATGGCCCAGCAATCCCTGACTGCAAGAGCAGCCCATGGAATCACAGAGCACGCTAAAGCTGCTCCAATTTACAATAGGGATGAGTCTGGGAGCCAAATGGCCCCTGGATGTGGGAGTGCACAAGGGCGGATATAGCCTCATTTTCACATTCCCCTTTTGAGTGAGTCCTGCAGCTCAGGTTCTTTGCTGTTGGGTCAGTATTTAGCATTTAACCCTTCCCAATAATTTATTGTTTGTGTCTGGAAGAGGTAAATGTTTCATGCTGCCTTTCTTTGTCACAGTACCTGAAGTCCAGGGAAATTCTGGCTGTTCCTATTCATTGAGATAGTCTACACATGTTGTACAAATAGAGTGTACATCATACAAGATCTGAGGAACAGCTTTAATCAGCCACTTCTTGGACATACAAGTAGGTTAGGTAACCTTCAGTCCTATGTATACAGGTGACCCCAATAGAGAAGGAGCTAGATTTTTCCAGGCTCAGGCTTCATACGGGGAGAGGGTGCCATGTTTTCAGTCATGTTTCAGAGTGAAACTATACTTTAAAGTGATGAGCAAACTGCAGACTGTCCGGAAATTTAATGAGGTTAAACATTCCAAAGTTCAAATAAATAAATTTCTTCTTGCATCACTCCCCATTTCTACCTCATAAAGGCCCTTCTTATGTGTTTACCTGACCCAGAGCCTCTTCCTCTAGACTGCTACTAAGGTCAGCTGCTTGATGATAAGAGAGCTAGTGGTAGGAAGGTTGCTCTATTCAATAGGGCAACTGTGTGGAACTCAGCAGACCTGAGTTCAATTCCTGGCTCAACCACAGACTTCCTGTGTGACCTTGGGCGAGTCACTTAATCTGCACTGTGCCTCTGTTCACCATTGATAAAATGGAGCTAGTATTTACATAATCCATTCATGATTTTAAGGCACTCAGATACTATGGTGATGAAAGGGACCCTTATTTGAAGGTTATTCTCTCTAGTTCTTCTCTTCCTATCTACCCAGCTCCGTCTACTTTTCTCTGAAAATGTTTATGGCCGCAGGAATTATTGGACGTTCAAACTGGGTGATCATAGTTGTCCTTTTTAGCTTTAAAATCTGTGAACCCTTTCCTGCAATGAAAAAAGTGTCCTTGATCTCCATCTCTATTGTCACCTTTTTCTGAGGGTTGGCCTGCACTTGGTTTTTGCACCGATTTTTAACTAATCAATAGAAAAATTGCTAGTGTGGATGCAGTTATATTGATCAAAATATGTTTATATCAGCATAAATACTTTCAGTACATTTAAATTTCCCTAAGCAAGTTATACTGATAGAAACACATTTATATTGATATAACTGCATCTACATTAGGGGTTGCACCCAAGTTTACCATATTGGTATAAAAATTCTGTGTAGACAATTCCTGATCTGATGCCAGGTTCTTGGGTTCAAATGTCTAGAACAAGATACACATAAGATATTAACGAGTCCTGTGGCACCTTATAGATTAACAGACATATTGGAGCATGAGCTTTCGTGGGTGAATACCCACTTTGTCGGATGTATTCACCCACGAAAGCTCATGCTCCAATACTTCTGTTAGTCTTAAAGGTGCCACAGGACCCTCTGTTGCTTTTTACAGATCCAGACTAACATGGCTACCCCTCTGATACTTGACATAAGATATTATTTGTATTATTGTCATGGACCAGGATTCCATGCTAGATACTGTACAAACACAGGCCCAAAAGCTCGTCCCTGGCCTAAAGCGCTTACAATCGAAGTAATTGCCACAATGCAGTAAGCACACTTCAAAATGGCCAGTTGCTTGGCTAAGTGGTCACTTGCATGTGCAGCTACAACAGCTGTGCACCCAAATGAAGTTCCCCAATTCTGGGTTTTTGTGTGGGTTTATAG